CCGTAACGAAATAACTCGCAGTAGCTGATTTCGTCGACTTGATTTCGTCACGAAATCACTCGCAGTAGCTGATTTCGTAACGAAATGACTCGCAGTAGTTGATTTCGTAACGAAATGACTTTGTAGACTTGATTTCGTCACGAAATCACTCGCAGTAGCTGATTTCGTAACGAAATGACTCGCAGTAGTTGATTTCGTAACGAAATGACTTTGTAGACTTGATTTCGTTACGAAATCAATGATTTCGTAACGAAATCAGTCATGCGACACTTGGCGCCCCATAGTTTAGTAGCAATACAATGTTCGTTCATTCGGCGAAATATTTGCTCAACGTAGAGAAGCAATATTACATATTTAAATTTTATTTCTTATTATTCAAGTTTAAATGGCACAATTGTCCAGATTGCCACCAGCAGTGGTTGCAAACGCGTACACATCAATCAGTACTACTACTACCAGGAGTACATGAATAGATATACATTTAGTATCATTAATACAATATAGTGCACATACATATATGTACATGATGTAAAAGTAGACAGTACATCTGATTAAGTACTCCTGACACTACTATATCGACACCCTTTATGCATCATTCAGAAAAAAATCCTTACTTCCACATATGGTTTCATGGCCTGCTACTTCTTATATTAGATGCAAAGAAGTAAAATAAATGTAATTATATTACAGAAACTAGAACCATTCTGTTTTTAATTGGTAAGAATTACAACATATTATGAAAAACATTCGTTTCGAGTAGTCACAAATATCAACATAGCAAGTGTATATATATACCGTAAAGGCATTTAATCATGACTTCTAGACCCTGATAATACACCTCGTTGACTAATCAGAGATACATACAACCGCCATTACAAATAAATATGACCAACCTGCGTAAGAGCGAGGGCAGGAGCTCCTGGTGTGACTCAGCATATCTCTCACTCACACGGTATCAGGACTGTATACAGCTACTTAATGGGAACGTACTTAAACTCACTATGTTAAAATGGCCCAATGGCACTGCTCTGTACCAAGGCTGTACTAGCCAGGTACACAATGAGGTGAGCACTTGTTACACGTGCAATCGTTACGAGACTTGAAATCGTTAATTTTAGATGTATAAGATATAAATACTTTAGCTACACATATGAATGTTTACATGATAATTGTTATAATAGAAGTCTATTTCTCTTTGTACACACACGCACGCATATACTTTATATTTACAATTGGTAATTAATCAAGGTGATATGAGTTTAGGAACAGTTAAAATGCATGCAGTAAAGCTGAGAGGGTCTATGTCCCCCAGGGTACTGCCGGAACGTACCCTGGGTACAGTCCGGTATACCGGAACGTACCCTGGTACTATCTTATATGCCGGACCATACCTCGCCTACTCCACTAACGAGTCTAGGGAGTCGCCTACGCCTATTCCCTAGCGGTCCCTAACCCTAACCATATCAAATAGTTATCAGGGTACGTTCCGGCAGTACCCTGGGGGACATAGACCCTATGAGCTGCAGTAGATGAGGGTTTTTTTCTCAACTCAAATACAATTCTACCAGATGCTAAGCTGCTATTCAAATAAGTCATCCCAGACAAACAGTCGATTTCTCCATCACATTACGGCACTTGTAAAAAAACGCAACAATTGTGGACGTTGAGTAAAAACACAATGGGAGGTGATCGTTTGTCTAATATCACTCAAAAACTATGAGTGCATTTCTACTATGAACATAGTTACACTGCTACGAGGTACACCTAACACATCAGCCAAAAGTTGCATGGAAACAGGAAGAATGCACAGCCATGTCATCGGGGATCTCCTTGTGTTGGCCCATGGTTTGAGCCTGACCAGTTCTGATTCCCAAGCCCCTGCAGGTTCACTCTGTCGAGCGCCGATGGTCGAGGCTGCTCTTGGGCTGTTTCCCTTCGAACAGGGCCACCATGCTCTGCATTGTCTGCTGACAATGATGATGCACTAGCACCACCTGTGAGCGAGTGGCAACGTTATTAGAGATTTGACAGCAGTGTTTCGTTGGAATTGAGCAATGCACGCAGACGCAGAGCTCTATCAAGCCACACGAGCATAAAATTATACAACTTAGTCGACTTCAACAGATAAGCTTCATTTGTGAATATGCATGCATCTTGTAAAGTGGTCCCTGCTTTATTGGAAGTGGTTCTGCACTGATAAAACGGTGATGTTGATTATGCAGAGAACCCATTTCCAGTCACACAACTACTCCTCACATGTGGTGCTAGTACTTCAACAAAACCATTGCATCTGTGTTCGAACCAATAAGAATTTCCAACCAAAAAATAAACTTTGTTCTGCAGAAAATATTCTGTTAAACCTGCCCTTCCTGTTCTCTATTTCCAATTAAAATAACGTGTGCAAAGCTTGTTTTTCAGTCGTATGTCATTTACGTGATGCACCCTTTTATCTAAGGCCTGATACGTGGGAACCACTCTATTGTAATTCTACATAACTGCCCACCTTCCGACCTAGTTGGTCGCACCACATCATCTTGCCGATCTCTGGTGTTGCTGCCGGAAGGACTATTACAGGATTCAGGTTCTGGTGATGCAGGACACTCAAAATGCACAACGTGAAATACCTACAAAATAAATTATTTACTGCTATTAAGAAAAAACTATTGGAAATGCACCATTTACAGCAAACCCAAATCACAAGATTGGATAACTTAAAAGATTGCAAGCACAGATGGCTGTCACCAGACTCATAACCTTCACTCTTATGAAACTCACTCCTTCCACAGAAAGAAAATAAAAACTATAATTACATAACTGTCATATATATATATATATATATATATATATATATATATATATATAAATATATATACAACAGTAATTCTGATTAGTAACTATTCACAAATAGTTTACCATATATAATAATAATACAATCAAAAACATAAATTATGAGTATAATTTTAACCTCATTTGCTGTATTGTGTGTTCCAACAATTCTAATAAATACGACAGGTCTTTTGCTGAACTTGATCATCTGCCATGACCTGCAAATTGGAAATGTAAACATGATTCACATCAATAAGGGTATTATCATTGATTTGCAACAGAATTATTTATACTATAATAGTATCATAGAGCATTTTTTATAAATCATGAATGAAGGCACACATCAATCACCCGTGCCCATTTTAGGCACTACTATTGTTCAAGATTATACGTAAGCAGTGTTTGTACAGCTGTATATGACATTGTAGCACATATATGCAGGCAGTATGACTACATGTACTTACTGACAAGGCTGTTTTGATCGATCACAGACCACATCCCATGTTTGGTTGTCTATTGAGACTTCAATGTAATAACAGTAAGTCCTGTTGTCACAATCCCACAAAAGCATTCTGCAAAGCACATCTTCGATTAGAGATAACTGATAGAGCAGGAAAGTCCACTACATAGACATTCCTCCTTCAACAGATATATTGTAGTGGCATGCTATATGTGTGCATGGCTTACCATAAGTAACCCATCTGCTATACCTTGTGTGCATGTATAAACGTCTGCGCAAATGTCTTGCATGCTTTTGATGTTGGTGCGCAAGCATGTGTGTATATGTGAGCATGCAGTGCACAAATGTGTAAGCATCAGTCCTTGTACGTGTCATGTGTGGGATTACAGTTGGTACCCAAACATATCTGTCCAAATGTTCATAGTGAATGCATGCACGTGTTCGTTCATACATGTGTGGGTTAGGCATGAGCATGCGCATATGCATCTAGAAATGTGGGTAATAATGTAGAGTCTCACCTCATTGAGTCCACTAGGTAGGGCTGTGTGAGCTGTACAACAATTGCACCGGATCCGAGCTGATGACATGTATATCCAGAGTCCCAGTCATAGTTCTGCGTGTCTCCATTTATTAGAGCATTGCGGCACCTACTAACCCCCTCTATAACCATAGCACTCTGCTGTATGGTAGCAATGTTGTTGCAAGGAACTGAAAGTATATTTTAGCAAAGCATCGATGCAACCACAGGATATATTCTGACTTCTTTACAATTAAATGGTGGTAATTCTACCATCCATAATTTAACCAGCCCACTGGTTTACTGTTGAAAATGGTTTTTTGAACAATTTGGAACAAATAGCAGTAGAAAACAAAACAATACGATGTGAAAGATAAAGAAGACACCAAATAAGCCAAAAATAATACAAAAGAAGTGACTGATAAACAATCCTGAATCTAGAAAAGCTAATCTTATAATGTCATGTACATTACTAACCAATAAGCCCATTTGCTGTCTCACATGTATCTTTCGTATGCATTGCCTCCAAGGCAACTAAATGGAAAACCCTATTCACTGTGTTATGTGTGCCAACAACTCGTACAAATCTGTAAGTAAAATATCTAAAATTCCGTTACAACATAAATAAACACTGTTAATACAAGCAGCTTGGATTATTTAGCAATTTAAAGCCTTGTTGTATAATTGTACTTTTACACATTTATTGTATGCACATGCTACACCATGGCATACCTCAACTCAATGCCTTACACCATACAACATTGCACCTCATTAAACCATACCATACTTCAGGAGAGTCAATAATTAGGTAATTCTGCTACTTACTAGCTATTCATACTCATAGATTATTTGCTTATATCATAAGTGCATTCCCCCACATGACGCACTAATACTAAACAGATAGGCAAATTTATGAAAATTACCAAAGGGAGTGCAACTCCTTATTTGCCGAATTTAGACTCTTGTGAAAATTCACTACTTGTAAGAAGTCACATTTTGCAATTTGGCAAGCAGCAACTAGACCTCTGTCACACCACACTTAATTATGACATATTACAAACACTACAATTACAGCTGTACATTTCCCAAATCATTCCCATTTCACCAACATCATATATAGAATGGCCAACACGTATTTAATAGGTTGTTCTTGCAGAATTTACATGCGTATCCCTCGACCTCACTTGATGGCAACAATGACCAACATTTGGTTTTTACTCCTACGCAATGCAGCAATCAATCAGAAAGGCAATGGAAGGTGTTATGTGATGGGCTGCATTGCTTTCACTCACCGTATCACCCGGGGAGTAAAGTAAAGACGTTGCCAGGATCTGCAGAGGTATTTGCTGTGATCACCGACTTTCACCCAGTCCTTCTCATCCATGGACACTTCAATGTAGTATGAATACGACCTGAACAACAATGCAGTGAACAGCACAATAACACAACAAATTCCACAGTGTTTCGAGGGAAAATCTTATAGTTAAAAATCAGACAGACTACAAAGTGACTATTTATTAATGGAGAAAGATGATTGCTTTTCTCATCGATGCTTATCAAGACGTACGCCTCTGTCTCTGTTATGACGGCCAATATGGTGAATGAATGTCCATTTATAACACAGGTTATGAGCATTATAATTCGCACCGACCAGCCACGTTTGGGAGTCACAGTATGACTTCACATGCTTACCTCATGTCCTTGTCCCAGAGCAGAAGGCGCATATGATTAACTATGCACTGCGTTCCCAGCTTTACCACTATTCCCTTGTTTACACTGTCCTCTATCGGGTGCCGCGTAAAGCCATGGTCCATATCATAGTTAAGAGTGTCGCCATCTAGTAGTGCCGTCTTTACCTCACCTTGTAGCACCTGTGCTCCATGTCGCAGTGAGGCTACATTCTCCTCTGGCACTAAAAGTATTATAATTATAGGCCTGCTATTATGGCACTGACAGGGGGCAGCACGCATGCTGTTTCCTGCAACACTAAGTGTTTACTGGCAGTTTTTGAAGGCATTTAAACCTCGAAAACAACATTAATGGCATTAATAATATAAGTCAGTCAAACTCCTAAGCAATATCAGATGGCAGCACATGCTGTTAGTTATGCATTCATATTCATTCATGATTACAAATGAATGTGACCTACATAAGATGCCCCTATAGTTGAGTTCCATCACTCTGAGCTCTACCCTCTCTTTGATGGCATCCAGGATGGCATCTGGTTGCATTAGTCCAGTTGGTCGAACTTCATTAAGCAAGTCCTGTGATATTTCAACATAATGAACATCTGGGCAATGACCAAACAAGGATTAATGTTTCATTCAATCACACGTAGTGATGTCATCATTATTTACTCACAACAGGCTTGATCGCATATATAATCATTGCAATAAAATCTTTAAAAATTGAATATTGAAATTGTGACATGCATATTTTAACATCAATAATATCAGGAGTAGATAATAGGGAGGAGTGTGACATCAATAAACAAGGGAAATTCGTCATTTACTAGCCTTATAATACCTACGATTTACTACGCGTAACTCATCCAACTTGAGCTCAAATCGGACACAGTACATTCGCCAATCATCGTACGAAATCGTTTCCTCGTAGACACCCGCAATCCGGAGATACAGCCTAAAACGTACGACACGATTCTGCATTCTTTGGACATCAATCCAACGCCATTGCGCGCCTATAATTCAGACAAAAGGCAGCAACACTGCCGCGCAGTCGCTGTGTTTGCTCTCTCGGATAGCTGAATGTGGCGTTGTGGCTCGTGGGGAGATTGGAGATCGACGCAACACTCGACGAGCTGATCATGCAGTTGGCGTGCGTGCGTGAAGGCATGCCAGCTATGTACAAAGGTGGCCTGTGTAGCTGTGTACCGGGTCAAAGGTTATCTCGCCGAGTGTTGATGCCTAATCTCCCAGCGAGCCACATGCCTCGCTCAGTTAGCAATAGCGCGTTAGGTAGCTGCCTTTTGTTTGAATTATAGGCGCGCAATGGCGTTGGATTGATGTCCAAAGAATGGAGAATCGTGTCGTACGTTTTAGGCTGTATCTCCGGATTGCGGGTGTCTACGAGGAAACGATTTCGTACGATGATTGGCGAATGTACTGTGTCCGATTTGAGCTCAAGTTGGATGAGTTACGCGTAGTAAATCGTAGGTATTATAAGGCTAGTAAATGACGAATTTCCCTTGTTTATTGATGTCACACTCCTCCCTATTATCTACTCCTGATAATATATATAATTAAGTACTTAATTATTTGCACTTTGCTGCCACTAGCCATGACTGGACTCTAATGTTAATCACGACTGGATATAATCCTGACTGTACACAAGCATGTGACGACTGTGACACAAGGGTCCGGACTATGACTAGGCATCCAATAGAAGCCAAACTATACACTGTGATGACAAGGTAACTAGCAGGTCAGCCACGAATGAATCGCCATGAGAATAAGCACGCTTCTCACCGGCAGCGTCATGAGAGGAAGACGTATTGCATTCAGAATCTCGGATATTCCTTCCTTCTCAGAGCTGTTGACTTTAGTCCAACGAAGAACAGCGCGGAATATGTCAATCTCGTTTGCGCAGAATGAATCGCGTGAAATCATCACATGTAGAGAATTCTGAATGGAAATCGGATAGGCGTTTAGGATCGTGCTATAGCATGTGTCAATTATTTTAGTTAAGTGTATCACTCATCTTTACTCTCAATTTTTTGTTATCAAGTACATTTTAATATCAGTGAAAAATTACAAACAACCAAAATGTATTTCCTCCTGTCTCTCTAAATTGAACGCTAATACAAAAATAGCCTAGTAATGACACTAGTAATAACACAAACAGGACAGACATGCTGCACTTAAGTAAAAGCCGATCAAATGTTTCACATTCCCCCCGTTTTCTTATTTAAAGTAAGTTATAGCTTTTCTACGTGAAAGAAAAAAATGTTAAAATTCGTATATTTAATCTAAATATCAATATTGTTTCCAGTTGTTTCTATTTACTCAGATTCAGATTCAGATTTTATCCAGAATACACACAGAGATGAAATGGTCTTGTGGCTGTTCTATATACCTGCCTCATTACATGCTAAACAGGTATATAATTTATTCATCCAGGTAATGTACCAACCAATTTAGCTATATAATCATTGGCAAGAAATTTTGGACACAACGGCAAACATACAAGCACCACTTTACACTGTGTATGAGATTTGCATACCACACTGCCACAGTAGTAAACATAGAAATGGCAATGACAACGTCCAAAATCACATACATAGCGAGTAACAAGTAAGAGCGATTAAAATCCTTACTTATTAAACTTACAGCTGAGATAGATGTAAACGCATCACTGCTCAGAACTTCCTGTGCCTGTCGGTCCATGTAATCAAAGCAGGTTTGCCTCAAGCTGGTTAGACTAAACAACGTTGCCACATCGTATATCATGCACACATTGTAGACACTAAGGATGGCTTTTAGATAATCTGAGATGCTGGCTTCCAGTTCTTTGAAGCCATACTGGTTAGCAAGGCCAAGCACATCTAGTAAGAGGTCTTCCTGTGAAAGATAAGAAAAGATAAAATTGAAGAAAATTTAACTCTAGCCTGTATTCAACTGAAAGACAGTATCTGAGACCATAACTATAAAAACCTAATAAGTATTGCAAAGCAATAGTGCTCAAGGGGTAGATATTGCTATGCTGTTGCCACTGCAACTGCTACTACTACTGCTGTGGCTACTATTGCTACTATCAAGCCCAAATGCCTGACAATTTACAAACAACAGTAATCACCTGAATAGAATATCAGCAATTTATTAGTGTAGGTAACACACACCTGATATTGGTTAACATTATGGTTCATTTTCTGGAAATAGTATATTTAGATTTGTGCTGATATTGTTGACAGAGAGAAGCAAAGATAGGCACGCATTGATACTTGCGCTATTCTACATCTGACCATTACTCAGGCCATCTGACCATACACATGTCAGGTGATCTTATGACATACCAGCGATTATAATTATCTGCTAATATACAATGTAATTTCTAGCTTTAGCCAGCGATATATTCTGAGTTGTCGCATGCTAGCTAGTGTATACCTGTATCTTAAACTCACAGAATATAAGATTTAAGTAAAAAATACATGCTCACATGTATGTATACGTACCTTTAAACTGCTTAAATTCATCCTCCCTGTGTATATGTATTTTAATAACATACGAAAAGGTACGGCTGATGTTGCCTTCAGCTCAACTGTTGACAATGTAGATTCTTTCATGCCTCCATACAGCAGTGCTCTGAGGTAGATAAATGCACACAGCTGATGAGAAACAACTAATTTGGAATGCACACAGCTGATAGATTCTAACTCTTTGCACATTTCCAAGCCAATACAAAATCAACTATTATGTATAACTGTTAATTCAGTTCTGAATTTTAATATTCACCAGGAATCTACACATGCTTGACAGTGCTCCAGAAAATTTTTGGCGTTGATGAGTATTTACTCACCATTTTTTTTATGTATGAGTATCGGCAAGATCCCTATGAGTACTCCTTGTTGGCAGTACTCATCATATTTTCTTAGTATGAGTATCGTCCAGAATAGTTTTCAACAACTAGCGAGATTATAGGTGAAACTATATCTTCCACTGATGAAACATTCCTTGGTCTTGTAGGATTCATATATTTTAAAATGCTCTGACACTGTTCAGCAGCGCGACGTGTAGACTTCATGTTTGTTTCTGCAGACGACGGCAACGTGCGTTTTTATTACCGCGGAGTAAACTGAATTCTAATTGGCTAATCAAATATAATGGACCAATAGTCAACAAGCTTAGATCACACACGTTCGACTTTCCTTATTTGGAATTAATTCCGGGAAGGCCGGAGTATAGACTGCGTTCCAGTCGCAACACCAATTCTAACTTCAGAGCTTTGTAAAATAAACTACACACAGGAACCAGTCACGATAGATAGTAGATAGACTGGTTCACGTACTGACAAACAGCAGCCATAGCGAACATAATGAGTGGGGCACCGCGACCAAGCTACCAGTCTATTAGCGAGAGAGTCGAGCCGATACGGGAGTAGATGGAAGGTTAGCGTACTGATACGATCTGTTTGTTTTCTCATGTACGTATTTATTAAAACACAAGCGTATCTATACACATACCTTTGAAAATTACATGCGTATTTGTATGAAATTCATGCGTATTTACGCAAATACGCAAGCTATCTGGTGCACTGGCTTGAGTAAACTTTTAGTATAATTGATTTTCAATCGACATATAGAGTGAAAAAGATACCCATAGAGGATATACATACTACTACTATAATATCATATATCTGCTCATGTTGTAATTATACATATATAATGTATTTTACATAGCTCTAATCAATAGACCACATGAAGGCAATATTGAAAAGTATTCTGAGTATGATTCAATACTACAACAATAGATAGCTACTATATGTACATAAAATAAAAAGGCCATATAGACACATGGTACAGTAACCAACTGTTATGATTAGGAGTTTTTAATTTGCTAATGTCATACTTTTGTGTGTGCACAGGCTTACTTTATAACTGTACAAGCAAGATACAAGATACCCCACACTATCAAAACAAATGGATTACCAACCTGAAATAATCACTTCGGGAACCCAAGATAACCCGATGACCAGGAAAAGACTGGCCTTCAACTTGCAGTGTGATGTCGCTGTACTCTTCATTGAGGAAGAGCTGGCTGAGATTTTCAGACAGCTGGCTGACATGGTCCACCTCTTGTTCTGGGAGCGACTGAGATGACAGGAACGTACGCCGGTCACACATGCCTTAAGCAAATTCTTGCCAGTGCTTGGTAATGTGTAAGCGCACCTAGAAGAATCCATTGACACTTGTAGTCCCAGTCACATTACATTCTTTTACGCAAGAAGACTCATGGTATGAATATATATATAGAATTTTAGATGTTACTTTATACTTAGTCGGATTTTGAACAATCTTCCCGATTGTTCTCATATGCTTCTGACCATTACAATAATTACCAGGCAGCCCTTCCATTTCTGCAACCTGCAGGATATGCAGAATGTGGAAGTGGCATAGTGCCTAGTAGTGGAAGTGACATTCATTAAATTATTGGGTAGGCTATGTGCAGGGTGTAACACACTATCTGCAATTCTAGAAATTAGTCAGTGTAGGGAGGTTTCGATGGGTAATCTACATATGCTACGCCCAAACAGCAAATTAGCCGTGGTAGTGTCACTAGTGAGCCATATCAGTGTCACTAACTAAGGCTCATAGGGTCTATGTCCCCCAGGGTACTGCCGGAACGTACCCTGGTCACTATTTGATATGGTTAGGGTTAGGATTAGGGTTAGGGTTCGGGTTCGGGTTCGGGTAGACCGAATAATTCTGTCCCATATAACCTTTTTTATATTTTGGTGAGGGTTATATTGGGACAGAACGGGGTTCATTGAAATTTCGTGAGATCGCATGCAAAATGCATGCGCTGAGAATGCGGCCAGTACGCCGCTATTGGCGCGAAAAAAAACCTACCGTTCCCTTCTACATGGCTTTACCTTGCTACTGATATGTGTATACATTCACTTCAATCGTTATTCACTTCTTAAAAGATTGTTTTTCATAAACACCGCTTCGTTGAAACTTTCCTAAATTACATCGCCATTTACAAACAATCAGACCAATCACAGCGAGTCTATCAGGCCTCCTGCAGCGCCACAGATACAAGCGAGAACCAGGGGCTATTGTAAGACTCGCTCTGATTGGTCTGATTGTTTGTAAATGGCGATGTAATTTAGGAAAGTTTCAACGAAGCGGTGTTTATTAAAAACAATCTTTTAAGAAGTGAATAACGATTGAAGTGAATGTATACACATATCAGTAGCAAGGTAAAGCCATGTAGAAGGGAACGGTAGGTTTTTTTTCGCGCCAATAGCGGCGTACGGGCCGCATTCTCAGCGCATGCATTTTGCATGCGATCTCACGAAATTTCAATGAACCCCGTTTTGTCCCAATATAACCCTCACCAAAATATAAAAAAGGTTATATGGGACAGAATTATTCCGAGTCTATAAGGCGTTCGGGTTAGGCGTTAGGGAGTAAGGCGTAGGCGTTAGACCGAATAATTCTGTCCCATATAACCTTTTTTATATTTTGGTGAGGGTTATATTGGGACAGAACGGGGTTCATTGAAATTTCGTGAGATCGCATGCAAAATGCATGCGCTGCGAATGCGGCCCGTACGCCGCTATTGGCGCGAAAAAAACAGGGGTCGAAATTAGCAGTATCCCGATATCCGCGGGATAGTAGATTCTTGTGTTGGATACCAGATTTCAACGCTTGGTATCCCGCCGGGATAGTAAAAAAAAAACGTCAAAATCGGGATAGTGGTTGTTGAGTTATCAACTTTATATGGCAGCGCATCTGAGCGAGTACGCGCGATCTGAGCGGGTTCAGACACCCTTACGCCACACTAGCGTTAAGGCCGGCGCACACCTAAAAAGATTTTCCCAGAAATCGGTCCGATTAAAAAATCTCTTCATCGTTTGTAAAATTGGCTCAGCGCGACGCCTTCCGATTTAAACACCCGCATACCTACGATAAAATTGATTATTTTGTTCTGCAAGAATGCATTTTGAATGTCATGTGACACGGGCACGTTCAGCTATTGACTGTTCAATATTTATCGTAGAGGATTTTTCTGAGTTCACACGCACACTACAAAATCTTGTCGGATTACAAAAAATCGCTTCAAAATAATCGGTTCAAAATCAAACATGTTTGATTTGGAACGATCGCCCGATAAAAATAATCTTAAGTAAAATCGTCTACAAATGAACGCGCACACCTACCCGATATCGGCTGATTTTTATCGGACCTATCAAATCGCGTAATAAATCGGCTGGTGTGCGCCAGCCTTAATACAGCAGGCATAGCATATTTGCAAGATATTGTTGCAAGAAGACGATGTTGATCATAAATGTGATGTGTATACATTGTATCAAGCGAACCAGACAATGCGTCTAGACAATATACCTCTGCAGTGTAAGTTGTGGAGGCGTATGTAAAATGAACGGGAGCGATGAGAATTTTGAAGGCAAACAATTGTTGAAATTACTATCCGAAAAATGGGATACCAGATCTTTGGGTGGGATACCAGATTTCAATACCTGGTATCCCGAATGGATACCATAATAAAAATCTAATTTCGACCCCTGAAAAACCCTACCATTTCCTTCTACATGACTTTACCTTGCTACAGATATGTGTATACATTCACTTCAAACGTTATTCACTTCTTAAAAGATTGTTTTTCAGACACCCCGCTTCATTTAACTTTCGTAAATAACATTCGCCATTTATAAACAATCAGACCAATCAGAGCGAGTCTATCTGCCCTCCTGCAGTGCCACAGATACAGGCGAGCAAGGGCTCCTTGCAAGCGAGAACCAGGCTATTGTAACACTCGCTCGATTGGGTCTGATTGTTTTGTAAATGGCGAATGTTAGTTTACGAAAGTTAACATGGAAGCGGGGGCATAGTCTGAAAAACATCTTTAAGAAGTGAATAACGAGTTGAAGTGAATGTATACACCATTATCTGTAGCAGGGGGGTACAAGTCATGGTAGAAGGATAACGGTAGCGTTGTGTTTTTCGCCGCCCAATAGCGGGCCGCTAGCGGGCCGCATTCGCGCGACGGCAATGCATTTTGCATGCGATGTCACGAAATCTTTCAGATGACCCCGTTCGTTCCCCAATATAACCCTCACCAAAAATATAAAAAAACGGGTTATCATGCGGACATGAATTTGATTCGGGTAGTCTAGCGACTCGTGATTGCTTACTGGTTAGTGTGTAGTGGAGGCTTGAGTACTAGTAGTAAGGCTATGTGCAGGCCGAGGTACGGTTACGGCATGAGTAATATAGTACCAATGCGTTACGTTCCAGGAGTACGTTCCGGCAAGTACCCGCGGGCGGACATAGGACCCTCGTCAGGCCTTAAACTAAGAGTGAAGAGTAAAGAGTAAGCAAATTAAAGGAGCTCAGAAACGAAGACAGGAACACACCTTACTACCCCGTTTATAGTGGTCCTTCACCTTTCAACCCCGAAGTCCTGTAACTCGGTTACTCCGGACATTTAGCTGCTCTGCGTGGGTGAACTCTACTACGTCTTAGTTATTTCTTATATTACATACGGTGTGCTGTGCGAGCAGATTGAACGCTGTAGGGAGGTCAGCAGGTGACGGAACACCGCCTTCTCAAGTTGAAACCTTACTGTTAAAACATGTAATATCACGACACTGCTATTGCATGCAATAAACTTGAACATGTTTAATAATACAGGTGCTTGGGGCCGCCAGGTGTCGCGACGAGGAAAAATGAGCATCTTTGTTTTGTCTGAGGATCCTGTACCAGAGTCTCTTGGCCACTTCGAAGAGCGCCGCCGTCTGTGTGGAGATCGCGTTTTTCTGGGAGGCACCAACGATATAAATATATTACAATAATACTAGCAATGTACGAAATAAAATAAAAATGTTACAGTCTATGGTTACAGCTTCACGAGACACAACATCGAAAAGATATATTACCTATCATATAATGCATCCACAATACAATTAAAATGCCATCTTTATATTATGTTCTTCAGTCCGGGGCTGGTGCGACGGCGATCTCGTCGTTTGCGTAAAATGCCATATTTTTTTTAGGAAAATTTAATGGTTAAAATTATTACGTGACTAAAGATTGGTTGCTCGTTAAAACATAACATAGACTCGTGTAAACGGTCAAATTAACAATGTTTTGTTCGTTTATTTGGTCTTCGTAAAGCATGGAGAAGAATGTGTTTGTGATTGTTATCTTGTTCAACCAGCTTCCGATCCCGCCACGGCTGACTACTTGATTGCGCAGATGATCGGTAGTTTATATATTCAAATTATCGCGTTCAGTATCTTTTTCTGATTCTGTGCCCCTCGCAATGTCAGTAGGCTACTCAGCTGCTGTACAATTATATAAAGACGTGAATAAAAACAACGCTTCTAGTGTACATCATATAGCCAGCATTCGTCTAAAGATTTCTTTCTCACATTGTTTAATGTCCCCGATAAAAATATACTGGTAACTTCGGTCTGCCGGCCGGTCAAGGACTATCCTGTGTGGGCCGCCCCCAGCAGGCGGAGAAACCCCAGCTAGGCGGATGAAACCCTGGCAGCCGAGGCGGGAGAAACCCGTTCCACGCAGGCGTGATCAACCCCCACAGGTCCCCGAATGAAACCCCGCCAGCATGCGGGAGAAACCCCCACAGCGGCGCGATCAACCCGCCCAGGGCAGGCGCGAGAACCGCCGAGCAGGAGGCGGGTCGGAGAACCCGACAGCAGGCGGGAGACCTACCCTGCAGGCCATGAGAATAAGCCCCCGAGCAGGCGCGAGAACCCGCCAGTTCACTGCGGCTGAGAACACGCCATCAGTGCGTGTGAGAAACGCCCTAGCAGGGCGCCGGGGCACAGGGTGCCGCAGCATCACGAGCTCGCCAGCAGGAGGTAGGACGCGGCCTAGCACATGCGTCGCGGAACGGAAAGAAGAAGGGGCCAGACCAGCAAAGACCAGCGCACGGCACGACCCGGAAGCCGCGGAGAAAACGTGAGCGCATGGAGAAGTGATATGCCGAGAGGGTGACTGCCGAAGCGAGGCCCCGTGTTCGACGAGAAAGACGGGATCGCGGGCAGCAGAAGCGAATGAGAGAGGGGAGAGGATGAGAACAGAGACGAAAAATAAGACCGGTAATATATGTATCAAAAAGAAACAGGAGTAAAGCAGAAACGACTGTAAGAGACAAATATGAGATGGATTAGATAAGGCAGCACTGACAGGAATATTAGCGCTGGTTAGAACGAAGTTTTAGATGTTCAATTCAGCCGTGTGGCTCATGCGTTCGAAGGTGCCCACGGCGATATCATAAGCATATATATAATGATACTATAGATATACTTACCATAATACGAAGATACGCCACACACGCACACGTACCCATACGGCGGCCAACGCACGCAGCGCACGCAGCGCCACGGCACGCTACGCACGCACGCACGCACGCACGCACGCACGCACACACACACACACACACACACACACACACACACACACATGTAAACAATATGTAAGCAACCACAGTATTGTGCCTCCTGATTCACAACTCACGTCAAAACATTGTCGGTTAGCAGATAAACTCACAACAAACAGCTTAATCAAAATATTACACTCACGGGCGACTACTCTAATGATCACAAGCTGGGCTTACTCTATCGACTCTTGGTTAAAAGGCTGACGAGCTGAACGAGTACATCAACGTTTTAGAAAGAAGTCTACAACGTAAACGAAAACCCAATCAAATAACTAATCGCATACGACGTGTCCTGATTGCAGAATATGTTATAATTTCTTAACCGTTAGACAATAAATACATTAGCTTATGGTCGTTTAACAGATCAGAATACAGCACGCAAGGGGTGTGCGTCTTGAACAGTTTCTATGCTGATTTGCGTAAGTTTGGCGCCTGGTGAAACTATTAACCTCGCACTGTTAAACAAATCATCAACGTATAAACAAATCGTATCAGCTATTTAATATAGCACAAACGGGTCGTTCAACAAAAATATCTACGGTTGTGATCATGATTACGCGCTGAAAATAACACTAACTATTAATTGCAGCGTCAAATATTGCAACATACATATTGAAAATATAGTGCCTAAACAACGCAATATAGCACACACAAAATATAGATTTAAATGTCCACTGAGGTCTCGTATACGAAGGAAATACAATATTTAACATTGCTGACGTATGGCAATAAATGGTCCCTAATTCACACAACTTCAACCGTGTCGACGTTTGAGATGGTTTAAGTTTTGTTATGTTATCAGCACATGAGCGCATTCACATGGTTTCACCTCTCACGATCCTAGTGAGAACAACATGCAAATTATTTCACGTATACGTTGGCTTGTAACACCCGGCGCGCGTAATCGCACCTACCTCTCTATACACGACGCATAAGGTTTATTTTATAAATATACATATACATAAGAGAGTAGTACTGCAGGTAAGCAAAATAAGTGATTCATTCAAGCAAAATTACGATATTGTAAGTAGTATCAGTATATACGTTATACAGAAAATCACATTTGTCTGTTTGGACGGTATTCCTAGTCTCAGTGATCGCATTTACATACTCACATACTACAGTTTGTGATGGCGATTGTTTATATAATGCTACGCTATGCCCTCCCCCGAGAGAAGACTGTCGTGCAATGCGTATATCTATCTATCTTGCACATTCGAATAAAACTGCAAAGTTCACTAATTTTATGGCTGCGATTCCGCGCTACTCATCTTGGATTACCCAGCAAATTCCTAAGAAGCATCGTACCGGAAATATCATCAGAGATCGAGATAGCATTGCCTTTCTTCGCATCTTGAGCAATATCAATCCGGTCCTCTACGCGTAAAGGCACTTATTATTACAATTTATTAAATTTATTCACACTGTTTATCATTTCAATATAAGTCTCTATTGGACGATACACGGAAGTGTGACTATATCGACGGGGAGGTAGGCAAATTCACGGAAGTGGGGCGATATATATATATAATATATATATATATATATATACATATATATCATAGGATAAAGTTATGATACTAATAACACGACTGTCTACCGTCATTCGCCAGGTACGTCTCCTTATCATTGCATTTCTTTTTATTATCATTAGAGTGCAAAGTGTTAGGTTCTAGACTGACTACAAACTTCACTATGGCTTCAGTACAGCCTAAAAGGAATTGATGTACAACAATATGTAAATCTGGTGCTAAAATCCCGAAACAAACAGAATCAGTGTACCCTTTTATACTCAGCTCGGTAATTTTGCTGTACGGATCTATGAAAGAAAAAGAACTGGTGTGAGAAATTAGCTTTAAATGAACAGATCATGGTTGTTAAGTTCTCTAGATTGCAAAAATACGAAAAGCCCATGTTATTAATATCTGTCGATACCCTGATGGTGACAAAATCGCCGTCGTGGAAAACTGACCGTATTCCCGAAGCGATTAGCTCAGTGTAATCAATGTGTGTAGATCACTTACAGCAACGACTTATAGAGGCCGTCTAGTTAGGAATCTAACATGTAGCCGAAGCACATCAAACGATAGGTAGGCCACCCCGGGAAAGGTGGTGTGACACCGTGACACCACACAATATACACTAACACCGAGTAGACAAAGATTTACATCTGCGCGTATAGTTATTTTCCATGTTAGAAGGGCAGTGCTCTTAGAAGATGAACCTCAATAAAGCAAATGCTGCCAGAACGCAGCCAAGTGGCAACCAGCGTGTGGGTGACGCCATCAAACATCCGTTGTAGCACTGAGTCATTCCGGCCTATCGTGAACGATAAAAGCAAAGATGTCGGTAATTCGTATGCAGTAATGAATTAAAACATTGAAATGTAGCAATAAATAAACAATTTAGTATTTGCAGTCAGAACCCTTTTACGTTATAGTGAGGGCAGTTGCAGAGTTTATACCTGTACTATTGGAACGTTTGTTGCTCTTATAATAGCTTAGCGGCTCATATTCGGTTACTGGCATGATGTTGGCTGGCAGGTATCGCAGTGCAAAAGCTAATTGGCATTAACACGCTGGTATAAATGCGTTTAATATCATACCAGGGACTCAACTCCATAATCACCTACACCACATGCTGATCTCACCACTGCAATATTCTTCGATAGTGTAGCAATACTGACGCGTATTAGAGAGAGAGGTACCTAGAAATATAACAGGGCACGGGAAGACACCAGAGGTACAGGGAACGCGGCAGGTCAGACGGACGGGCAGACAGACAGCCATGGAGACAGACAGCCAAACAGACAGACAGGCAGGAAGGCAAACATAGTCGGTATAGAATAGACAGAACTATAACACTTATACACTTATACACTTATAAACTTATACACTTATACACTTATACACTTATACACTTATACACGTATAATACATACGTTCATGTTGCACATCGTATAGTTTTTATCTTCGCCGGTGCAGGTATCAGTTCCGCCATTCAACGGCCTGTGGTTATAAATGAGGAAAAAACCGGATAAATCACACACGTGGATGCACACGCACACACGCACGCACACGCACGCACACGCACACACGCGCGCACGCACGCACATACGCGCGCACGCACGCACACACGCGCGCGTACGCACGCAGAGAGAGAAATAGATAGTGATATATATATATATATATATATATATATATATATACGCGATCGTATCCATTGGCTTTTAAATATTTATTAGAACACGTGAATTTTATTATTGTATCTATATATAATTACATAAGGTATTGCTATTCATTATGGCACGATTCCATAACAAATTACACTCACGCATACACCTCCATAAGGTGGACGCTGAGTAAATGACATTAATATGTAAATATACATACGGCGGATCAGTGCAATAGCGTTCATGGACTTCTTGCTCCGTATTTTGATTCGGCGACCCACATACGGGCCTACATGACATTGCAAGAATCCACTCGGTCCAGGCGCCGTTCTGCCGCGTCTACAGAGCGGAGAAATGTGCCTCACTTTAGTAAGATATAATACTTTTCGGAAACGTGAAAACATATAGCAAATGCATTCTCTTCTGCTTGCGACGGTAGTGGGTTACTCTTCCGATTAACTATAGCGGGGGAATCAGCCAGCACTGCCCGAATATTTTCTAGGTAATTGCGTTCGAGGACTTTGACGTACCTAATTACTTTGTGAAATTGGGGGAAAATGTTGAATAGATTATGAAACGATGTTTATGTTATGTTATGTTATCGATGTTATTAGCATCGATACATTCTTGGCGCCCAGGGTGGCGACGGGGCAGTATAGACCGGGATTCAGATAAGCGATAGCGCACACATGCACTTAGAGGAGGCGCGGACAGACGCTGACTTACGTTACGCCGCTATAAAAATATAGATTGATATTGGCGCATGAACGGTAATAACAAGGGATTGATATCTACAACAGCTTCCTTGGTACGGGTCATATATACTTACCAATGGCTTGCATGCGCCAGCCTGGCAATAGTACGGTGTCGTTACATTTGTGTAGCAGTAGGTTCCATTAGGCAGATACGTGTTTATAAATAAGGGAGCACCATTTGATGCATTTTTGCTGCAGAAAATTTTGCACGCATCGTCTATAGCTGAAAGAACAAGGTATGATTAAAGAATTAGCAAATAATTTCGAATCTAACTGCATATACCAATGAGTAATAGGAGATTATAGGTTCGCTCAAATACAATTTCAGTGTAAATCTGTTCAAACTTTCAAAAGACAAGAACTTTTCATAATAGCAGATATTGAAAAGGCCGGATTCTATACAGTGGTTGAATTACCTGCACTGGAATCAAAATACACCCCTTTAAAATGCTTATAACAAAGCCAGTAGTTTACAACAATTTGTAAAATAGTGTCGTTACTTACTGTTTGTATTGTTTACTTTAAGAACGGCGGGAGGTTTTATTTCTAGGTCCGTGCTTTGCGTGCATACGTTATCCGCATATGCTTGTACATCCAACATTAAGGAAGCAGCACAAGTCTAAAAAAAACATTTAAAAAGTTTCTCCTTGCTGCATATTATATATATTATATATACTAGTTATATATATATATATATATATATATATATATATATATATATATATATATATAGTGAGAGCGCATTAATGTATTCTAGCAAATCTATAAGACTGCTAGATTTGATATATGCATATGCACAATACCACATTCAATTAAAAACTTATTAACGAAATCACAAACTATTCCACTCTACTCCTGGTCTGTGACATTGCTTTACCGCCTCGTATCTTTTTTTACTGCGGCTAAACGTAATTTTGAACACAGACCCGTGCATATACATGCACACAGGTACACAGGCACATCTGCGCACGAACACACGAATTGGACCGTCGCAAAACTCAAACAATCGCTCCTAAACGCTACCACACACGCGCGCGGCGCGCGACACACACGCACACAGACACAGCACATGCACACGCACACGCACACGCACACGCCACCGACGCACCACGCACACGCACACGCACACGCACAACGCACACGCAAGCACATGCACACCGACACACGCACGACACACACACACACCGCACGCACGCACGCACACACACACACACGCCTCCGCAAATTGCACTATTTCGTCTCTAGAAAAGGCCTTTTTGGGCTCATTATTTTTTCGCCGAAATTCGCACGTGAGAGTTGCCCATTGAATTTTGCACATAATTGGGCTACGTATAATAATGCCTAAGTTAATAATGCTAGCATGCGTGGACGTCTAGAAAGCATTAGGAAGTAAATTTGCGTCTTGTCGTGTTTTTATAGTTGTGACAATTTTCCGTACAGGTGGCGTAGTCAGAGCGACCGGTTCGTGTTTTTTGTGGATGAAATGTGTCCAGACAACTTTGCAAAAATTCGCATCATAGAGCTGGCAAAAGTTTCGAGCGGAGCATAGAGCATGAATCTGTAGTTATTTAACATGAATAAAGTGTATGTTGTGTAAGCGAAGTAACAGTGTGAGTATTTTTAATTAATTTCTGTTCGATGCTTATCAGGAGCTATGCTATGCTTATGCTTCCCCTTTATCTACTCCTGATGCTTATTCAGGCCTGCCGCCTAAGGACGCCCTCTACTGTTGTTCACCACTTTAAGAACGCGGGCATACACGCTCACTCATACATACTACGTGAGAAATATGGAGGGCTGTTTCCTATCATTTTGACCTTTTAACTTATTCACCGCGTCAACCATTTCTCTCTTTATTACAAGGCTTGTATTTAACTCTATGTGATCAGTATTGATATATATTTATTTATTTATTTATATATATATATAGGGCCTATATATATATATATATATATATATACGTTTACTCTTACCTGGGAAGAACTTGGCGTGCACACGTCGAAGACAAATCTGTCTCCGACACAGTCGGGTGCGTTTTGTACCTCGCAGGTTCGTGTGAATGGTTTCATGGATTTGGAAAAAGATACGCAGCTGTCGTTGCACGGATCCGGCATCCATCGTGTCCAGTTCGCTGCCTTAACCACAGGAGCGTTCGCTACGTCAGTAGGCCATGCCACACATTCGCCTTTAATGCACCACTGCAATGATCCAGTGTAATAATATCATTAATGGCTGCGCATTTCCGCAATTTTATATTCGGCACATACCTTGCGCGCTCTGACACGATCCGAATCCAAAATTCCCACGTCACACCACTTACACAGTCAGTCAAAAACCAATGCAGGTACAAATATCTAATAATTTATGCTTTACAAAAGCATCTTTCGTTACTTGATAAAAATGCCGTCCATATACCGATATCAATGTATTATATAGTGTGACTGATAAAATTGTCGATCGGCAACGCTTTATGTGCAAGTTGACAAAATCTTTAGAAATAAAATCTTAACAAATAAAGAGAACCAACCCACAGAAGGTTTCCAGGAGCGCACGTTCAGATATCGCGAATTCATGCGGAAGTGAGTTGGACGCATATCATTTGCGAATTGACTTTGGGGAAATATCAGTTATGACATCAAACACTAAAAATCCCCACAACGTGGATTAAAATTAAACCTTAATAGTGATTCGGAACATTCTCAATATGAATCTTGTTAAGTTGTTTGCGGACGATGCATGAATGTAGGCGCATCGTATTTTAACATGTTATGACTTTTTTTTTACATTACGTGTACATACTTACTTTATTTTCAGCGCAGTAGGATCCATCAAAGGCCGGAAAAGTTATGTATGCCCGGGAGTCCCCTTGCACTACACACTCGACGCTATCACACGACTGTTAACAGAACACAAAAACATTCATAAGCATCGTGGCTTCATTGATTCGTTCTAGGGGAAGCATAACAAACGCGCCACCTAGCGATCGAGGGTGACATATTGGTGGCGAATTAACGGAGGGTTGTTTTCGAAAGGTAAATTACGTTAGAAAATGTCTTGAATTAAACGGGGTGTCGATATCGTCAGAGGGACAAGTGTTACATTGGTCGTGTCTACGCTCGCGTTCGGTCCCAGCATGCTGATGCACTGTCCGGCGAATGTCAGGCTCTGTCCGGGTGGCTCGTTATTGATCAAGAGGCGTGAGCTGGCCGAAGTTTTTGCGGCTTTCACACAGTGCGTCTCTAGCCTGCAATAGATTAGTTTAATGGTTATTGTGCTCACGTACAGAGCACACAGGAAAGCGCACAATCACACACATAGCCACGCTCGCACGGGTATACAGACGCAGTGACGCACACAAATTCACCTCCAGCCACGCGCATACACACACACACACGCGCGCACGCGCGCGCGCACACACACACACACACACACACACACACACACACACACACACACACATAGGCACGCACACACTCACGCGAACACGATCGCACACAAACAGAAACACAATCACGGACGCACGCACGCACGCAGACACATAAACACATGTACACCCACGCATGCACACAAAGACACGCGCACGCGCAACCGCGCTCGCACACGAACGAACATGCACACACACTAACCCTAGCGTGTCCTTTAAGGTTGCTATAGTGCAGGTAGACCAGCTCAATAGGGAGTCTCCCCGCAAGTATTCAAGTTTCGACATGAGGTAGCTATCGTCACATGTCACCGTCGGCTGGTACGGCGCGCCATCGTATTCGGCTCCGAGTCTGTGAGAACAGGAGAGACGCCGCAGTTATTATAAGAATTCATATAAAACTTATCGGGATCGTGAGCGCAACTAGGAAGACGCGACGTGACGTACGTGACAATCTAGGGAGGGTTATGCGGCTCAAGCGCATTACGCCGTGCTGACACGAGATCAGGATCGTATAAATAACGTTCCCCTCGATGCAAACAAACGCTCGCGACTAAAGCACTCCGGTCACATTTTCCCAAAAGTCCCATAATCCGCGCAATAAGTAAAATCGCTCCCAATAATTTGGACTTTTATCGACGTTTGAACACGTTTCCTCGACACAGGTCACAACAGTTTCTGACCATGGCACTCATATTGCTGTTTAACCCTGGCGCGCAGCATTGGCTGAAGCTGAACGAATAGATGTGGTTGCAAGTGGAGAGATAATGCCTGTAATTCAACGGATGCCGATAACGGGATGCGATCCTAGCGTGTGCTAGCTAGCCGTCCGGTATGAGCGGCGGCAGCAGTGAACGTATACCCGTGGGCAATCTCCCGAGCGACGATGACAGGAGTACCGAGAAGACCAAGGATCTTCGTACACTTGACGATCGCCGAAGAGTTCTCACACATGGTGTTCATTTCACTGAAACCTGAAACGATTCCCCGATCAGACGGATTGATACTTCGAAATGAGCCTATTAAACATAATACCTTATTATGTGTTTTACTTTTATTCATTTAAGCCTATTAATAAGCTAATATTATTATTATTAATTAATTAAATTTCATTATTATTTATTAATATTAATAGTATATTTTAGCTCTTGATAATAAATACGACTTTGAAAGAGCACGCGTACTGATGGGATAAGGGTATGTGATAATAGTTCTGTAGACTTGTATGAGTTCTATAGAATCTTGAACCTTTAAGAACTGCAAGAGTACCGATTAGGGATAACTATCATCTGGCGCCAGTATATCCGCGATGGAATAATTTTTGCCTGTGTGCGGTATACAAGATTGTTACGACAACAGAATTCTGACGACATCTGGACGCGGATTAAGGAAAAATATTAAAGCAGTAAAAAGCAGATGCGAATATCTTTACGAAAATTATTTAAAACATGATATGTGTCACAAGAGATAATATTCAGTTTTATTTAATAATTATAATGGTTTAAAAATTGCCGTGTCATTGGTAGCACGTTGAACAGTAGCCGAATACATGTATGTATTGATCCAGCGTGTCCTCTCATACCGCCTTTGTGGCAGGCTCCGTTTTGTGAAAACGACCTCTCGCGCTTCGGCTCTCTTTCACTCCACGTCAGTCTCTCTCACCCTACCCCCTCTCTCGCTCTATTCCAATCTTGATCTCCGTCTCTTTCCTCTCTCTCTCTCTCTCTCTCTCTCTCTCTCTCACACACACACACACACACACACACACACACACACACACACACACACACACACACACAC